ATCTCTACATTTTATGAACACAGCCAGGACATTTCTTTAGTCAAATGAAGCACCCAGCTGTGTGTGGCCGTGGGCTTCCGTCCAGTGGGGAGATTTTTAGGACTGGTTCTTGTGCTGACATATCACAGTTGGGTCGCAGCTCAAGGCAGCACATCATCAAATCAAAGTCTGTTTCTCACTTCCAATTAGCACTCGATCATTGACCTGGAAACAACCAGAAAAGACAGCGGTAGTGGGGATGTACCTTCAGCATGAACTACGGTACGAACTAGTGGTGAAGAAACAAACATGATGTCACTGACAGAAGTCATGTTACATTTGACATGTTCTTTATTATTATTATTATTATTATTATTATTATTATTATTATTAAGAAATAATTGTAGCTGATTTTTTTGGTGTAAATACTGTAGGACATGGAAGGATCTAAAAAATAAAGTACAAAGTAAAAAAGTACAAGATTAGAACTCCTCTAAGTAGGGCACATATGGTCAGTCTCTGACCAGCATGACTGCAGTGTGGGAGGGAAGTAAAGGACAGAGAAATTATTTCAGTTTTTGGCTGGTGGCTCGAAAGGCAACAGGTAGAGAGTTGACATGGTCATCAGCAAAAAACTGTAAAATGTAAAACTCATAATAGTCAGGTCGACCTTCATAACTCTAGTTAACACAATGATATGAATATATATATATATAAATATATATATATATATATGCTTCTCCTGATGGACATGTCTCTCCAAGCAGGTAATGACAGTTGGATGAGGTGAATTTAAAGCTTCCGTGGGTGAGTGGACACTGTTCAGTGGAACTGAACTGCACTAATAATGTTTTAGTTGTGACAAATTGTGTCCCATTTTAATACAAAACCAAGAAATACAAACGCTTTCAGCCTGTATTCTTGCTTCAACAAAAATCTCAAATTTCGTTTTTTCTGCATGCAACATGCAATTTCTCACACAGCGTTACTGCAAATACAGCTCTATCAAACTAAATCTGCATCATAACAGCAGGATTCATTTCTTTTGAGTTTGATCCAAAGAAAACTGCAGCAGATTTTTCATAGAAAGGCATCACTGCTGGTAGTTCCTTTACGGTACAAGAAACAGAGCCAGCTCAAGTGAGGAGGCATGTCACCATCACCTGGGGTGGTCTGCTCTGCTGCACACAGGAACAACATACAAGAGGCTCAGGTGACGGAGCAGCAGCAGCTATCACATCAACATTCACACAACATTCACACAACATTCACACCATGGACGTTTTCCTTGGGTTTAAAAAAAAATAAATTTAGTTTTGTAAGCAAGCAGCCGTCAGAGGAGATTAATACTATGTAATTATAATTAAAAAAATAAGACAGTCTTCTACAAAGCCCTTCACTTTCAGTGAGTTTCTCTCGGAGGCGAAGGTTACCTCAAGGGGGAATTCTAATGAAGCAGATGGCTGCGTGCCCACAGGGGCAGACACACAGTGTCCTGCCTTTTACAGTCTGCCAACATTTCCAGCATTTTGAAGAGCTTCACCTGTCTCTTGACCACTCTCGGCGTGCATCTGTGAGTCAAAGTGTGTGCATGAGAAAAAGGTTTTGGCTTTTCCTGACGGTTATCATCCGAGGCAGCGAAAATAATCATGAGAATAACATCAAAACAAACCACTTTTATCTGCGGCACACCTGTGAGCAGGAACACATGCAGTACTACTATGGTTTCAAGTACGCTCAACGGACAGGAGGAAAAAAAAAGAAGTGTTGATAATATTTTATTCTATAACATTTGAGTTCATTCAGTATGTGTGCTTATCAACAGTACATCTTTTCTTTCTTTTGGCCAACACACAGTTCTTGTGAACATGGCTACTGTGTCTGTGTCTGTGGGTGTGTGAATGTGTGTGTTCTGTATGTGTGTGTAGTAGTCCCGTGGGTCAGCGCAATGTCCCGTAGGTACACATCCAGTCACACCTTCCCTATTCAGACTCCTTATTGCTTTTTTTCCCCATACAGTAGTTCCCACGTTGGTTGCAGAAAAAATATATCCATTGGTCAGTGCAAAGCAGTGAAAATACCGTCCACTCCAAAAGCTTGCGTGTCCCTGTAGAAAGAGTTGAACCGTTCGCCGCCACCACTGTGAAAATGTGCCACTCCTGCGCTGCACCAGAGAAGAAAATGACGTGTTTTCTTACAAATTATGGACAAAAAGTCTGTACATACACACAACTCAGAGGACACGGCTTAGTATTATTATCTGTTTCAGTGATGAAACCACTTACTAAGAGAGACTAAAATAAACACAGAAATATAAATAGGTCCTATGTAAATATATAAATCTCTATAAGTAGGTTTCTTATTGACATGATGTTCCCGACCATGGAATAAGTGGGTTCACAATAAATGTCTCAGAGGGAGTAAAACAATCTCAACAAATATGTGAAATACATGTAAACCTTCATTGATTTCTGCCCCACCTCAGCGTTAACACTGACTTCACCTTTCATACAGTGCTCTTCAGTTTGTAAAGAGTTGAGTCATTTTAGGTTTAAGGTTGATTTGTTCACCAGTATATCATCCTATAAACGGAGCTGTGTGTTTTACAAAGTAGTTTCATCAACGACCCTCTCTTGGTTGAGACAGGAAACATCTTCAGAAAAAAACTATTAATGCAGTCGTCTTTGATGTAACTAAGATCAAACCTGGGCGACTGAGAACCTACACAGACGAGCTCTGTGTTTGTTAAAAAAATAAAGCCAAGAAGAAAAGAAGTGGAAGTCCTGTGCTGATTTTAGAAATGAATTCACATGAACATGAATCTATGAGAACATATAAGGGTCATTTTTTTTAACATATTTCGATTTATAATTCTTTTTGGTTAGTTCTGGGTCTTCATTCAGTAGTTATGTGTTTTTGCTGCCATACAAATGTGCTGGTAAACATAGAAGAGTCCAGCTTTCAATCACCAGTGCTGTCCAGCCACATGTGCACACCTTCTGTTGTGCTTTGTTATTTACGTTCCTGTAAAGATTTCTGAAACTAAACAGACATCTTAGACTTTAATTTAGAGAATCTGAAATGACTCTCTAAACTGAAAGACATTATTGTTTTAGTGTTTTACACACAAACACACATGGAGACACTCTTGAAACCAACACAGTTCTTCCAGACTTCTTCACTGAGAGTGAACAATGTCCACGACCAAATTCTCTACGCCGTTTTTGTGAAACTATTTGACTTTCTATTGTCAGCCACAGAAAGAGAAACCTGTCTGTGAGCTAGCTGATGGATCGCCAGCTGCTGCACTACATGCACATGAAAGCTGATTTATATCTAGGTTACAGTGTCCAACAACACAGTTTGTGGTCAAAGCAACATTACAGTCGTGTTATTCCATCTCACTGGAGCAGCTGCAGACGGTCTCAGTTATATCAGACATTACGATAAACAGAACATTTCGCTACATATAGCAATCTCCATGTGATATGCAGTCACTCTGAGGTGCAGTGCTATGAATGAAACACCTGATTCCCTCGCCTCCCTGGGGAAATTGCTGGGTCGTTTCCGCTACAGCTAAATCTAATCCCCAATCACAGCAAATGACTGTGATAGTCTGCACCACTGCTTCACCGACACACACACGTGTGTGTGACCAGGACCAGGAGAAAGGCTGCTGGGATTCTAGAGCTGGATTTGAACCAAACCAAAACTAATTAGGCTGAAAGAAAACGAATGTGAAAAGATATTATAAAGTGGGAAAGACCCACAGAAGCCACATTAAAACCTTGTTAGGATTCTCAGGAAAAATCAATTAAAAAGAGGAAACCCCTCTAGCCTAGCTTTTTGGGGTGTTTCAGAGAATGAAATAGAATTAAAAGATTAGACTAGATTTTGGACCAGCAGATCCTCTAACTAGGACTAAGGACTCCAGACTTTCTGATAATGTTGGGGACACAGTCACAAACACAAACTCAAATAATCGCAAAAAGCACAGCTCCAAGTTCCCCTTCAAATGTTTCTAATTTATACTGCAGTGACAAGTACTAGAACTCAGGAACAATCACGAACAAGTGAACCAACTAGAAAATAGACCCTGTCAGCCTGAGCACCCTGCAGGGTGTCTGTCTCCCCGTCCTCACAGTCTCTGATTACCCATTGTGCATCATGGTCCTGTCACTTCTGGGTCTCAAACCACTGCAGCTCAATCTGTTCTCAAACTCCACACCTTTGGACCATTACACTGTGAGGAAAAATACCTGGGGACGACGACAGAGGCGCCGGCCTGTCTGCCTGTCTGTCTTTATGTAGTGCAAACCCAGCATGTTGAGGAAGACGGTGGTTTGAATTGCTACACAGGGTGCAGACATCTGTAATTGAAAGAGGAAATGGTTCTCCCTTTGCACTTGTGCACAGTGTTTTGGGTGCAGAGCTGGGTGAAACCTTATTGCTGACTTTGGCAAAATCAGAAGTGAAAAGGCAAACGACTATTTCTATCTGTAATCCACTGCCTACAAGCAAGACATGATCAGTGTTTTACATTAAAAATCCAATCATCCTCCATCTTTCTAATGATGTAGTCAATAGTTAACAACCAATGAGTTCTGTCCATCCAATAAGAACACTTTTTGGCGTCCGACCACAGGGTACGTGGCTCACTATAATACTTCAGAAAGTTGGAATTCACATTAGGTATTAAAGAATGATATTTCTTCAGACCGTAAAATTGAGTTGACATTTGATCTAACCAATCACTAAGCTCCATTCTCTGAGCTGGATTCTCGATGGTCCACTGTGGTGAAATAGTAATGACAAATATACATAATATTTAAACATTTTTCCGGTGAGTTTAGAGTCTCAATCCACATTTTAAGTTCCCAGCTAGTAGATTATCTGTTCAGTAATATGATAAACGCAACACAGTATTTTTAAATTCTCTCCTATTCCATATTTGACTGTAATACAGTGACAAATCAGAAGAATATACAGTATAAAACTTGGATGTAAAATCAGGTCTAACATTTTTTTTCAAGGGCTTAATGGGGAACTTTCTAAGACTAAAGTTTTGATACCAAATACAATCAAAAAAGCGTCCATCTATCAATAACACAATGTCAGTGTCATCTCTTGTCATACTGTCATACCGCCTATTGTCCACTGAATTGTATTCTAATTCAAAAAACATGACTGTATTACTGTTTCACTGACATAGATTAGCCATTGAGACTTTAAACTAACCAAGAATAATATATTCAAAACAAAACAAAACAAAACATGGTAGCACTGCTACCAACCAAGTGTCCAAGCCTACAGTATGTTAACATCTTACTACAACAGCTACACGGCAAGATGGAATACACAACTAAAACACTTGAATGTTCACTTTACGAACTGTGTTACGAAACAAACCAAACATAAACCAATGGGGGCAAAATGTGTTGAAACTCAAAGTTTGAAGTTTCTGTTGTAAAAGGCGAACGTTATTTTGGAAAAGTCCAGGGAAAACCTTGCTTGCACTCCACCAACCCGCCGTCTCACTCTCCTTTCTCACCATCAGTCACACATTAACAGTTGCACAGTCAGGAAGAAAAACAACGCATGCTTTTCACACGCGTTAGTGGCATGAGCTTGGAAGACAGAGTAAGCTTGCTGTAACATGGGTGAAGATTTCAGTCGCTCACATGCAGTGATGTCTCAGTATTAAGATGGAGGGTACCTCTGCTGAAGCTCTCTCGCCCTGCTCTCACAACAGTGTGGTTACCTTTAGCGCTACAAAATAAGGACTATTGTGCCAAGAAGAGGTGAGTTATTACCCAACAAGAAAAGTCTTTTTTGGTATCCAAACATTTCTCCATCTCCTCCAACTCTCATGAGATTTGGAAAATTAGAAAGATAATTAGGAACAATCTATTAGATACAATAAAGGATTGACAATATGTGACCCTAAATGACATGGTTCAGGGGTCTACCTGTCTCAAAGCTCACTTTAGCTAAAAATGTAAATATTAAACACACAAAAGCCTTTGCACATGCAAGGATTAGTGCATAGGTTCCTGCAGGAAAGGAGTTCTAATGTGTAGACGACTGAAGTATATTCCCAAACATTACCAGATGGATTAGGTTTAGCCTTAGAAGTAGAACGTTCACAACCGCTCCTACTCTTGATTGACTAATGTCATTGTATCTGTGTTTATGTACAGTATGTATAAATAAAAATGTATTAAAATCTTATAAATAAATAAATACTATTCTAAACGTTATCTGTGACTGTTTTCTTCAAATCACAGTAAATGTAAAGTCTTGGTAGGTAAAATATGCAACACAGTGATGCCTAAAGAAAAAAGACAATACAAAACAAAACAAGAACAAGAGGGTTGTTTTTTGTTTCAGTTTGGTTGAGCACAGGAGGGTGTGACCAATCTTCACAAATTGGATGGAAGTTTAGAGCGGACAGTTTGAGGTTCTAGGTCTGGTGTATAAGCAGCAGAGCCCCTCCGTAGAGGCACAGCTGGGGAGCCTCCGGGAGAATGAGTCTGGCGAGGGTACCCTGGAGATGACGGAAGCGGAGGAGTCATGTGACCTGGCACTGAGCTACAAGGTTTGGGTACAAGGGTAGGTGATGAGAAAGGTGAAGGGTAATATCCAGTCTCTACTGATGGATGAGGAGTTGGTTGGCCAACAGTCTGTGCCACCTCCTGCCCTAGAGATGAATGTGAGCTGGATAAACATTTAAGGTCCTCAAAAAAACGACCAAAACTAGGAGAATAACTCGGTGAATCCCTCCCAGCTGTTTGTGATTGACCGGACAGTTGTGAAGGTAGAGATGACTGAGGCATTAGCAGAGAGCTGTGGGACCCTGTAACACTGGAGGTGTCACTGTAGTGAAAAGTCCTGCTTGACACAGGACTTTGACCAGTCGGGCTTGGAGCCACTGGAGTAAGGCAAGGGGAGGCGTTTGCAGAGCCATATTGGGCCAGGGAGGCCAAGGCAGACCTCTCTAGTGATGACTGGTGAGACAGAAACCCAGACTGGACCCCCACTGGGCTAAAATGACTGAAGGACGGGTACAGGCCTTCTGTTGGCTGTTGGCTGTGCTGTCCTCTACCTAATAATGGGGAGCCTTGTGGAGGAGAATGGAGGAGGTTTAATCCACTGGTAGTCCGACCTCCACCTGCAAAGTGCTGCACAGGAGCCACCTGAGGAGGTTTAGGTAGAGTCTGGCTTTGAAGAAGTTGTCCAGGTATTAGAGTAGAGGAGCTACTAGATAATGGACTTGGACAACGAGAGGAACCAATAAGTCCAGCTGTAACTCCTAATGACGGTCCTCCTAAAGCACAAGATCCTGAGCCTTTTATGTGGCTCCCCATGACCTCACATGGTGCTTTGCTACTTTGTCCCCCACCCAATCCTCCTCCTGTCCCACTTGGACTACTTCCTGTATGGCTAGTTGTTGTAATTTTCAAACTCCCAGAAGCCCTTCCCAATGAACCACAGGGATTCCCGGCCAAACTTACTGATCCCCCAGATTGTCTTCCAAATGCTCCTCCAGTATTTGTTGTGATGGCTGATTCTTCAGTGGTCTCAGCTACAATAACCCCCAAAGCCCTTTTTATTGACCCTCTAGAAACCCCTCCCACTGATCGCCTGGCAGTGTCTCCCATGGACCCACAAGCAGCACCCACAACTGATCCACTGGATGAACCACCTGCTAATTTGCCACAAGCTTGACTTATTGATCCTTCACATAGTAATGACTCCACCGAGACCCCTCTTCCTGAACCACCAGCAGCTCTACCTAGAGTGAAGTTCCTATCAGCAGGTATTTCTGTTGCTCCACCTGCAAAGTCGTCTCGAGCCCAAAAACTCTCTTCTTCCAGAGAACCTGCTATTGCTCCACCTGTTGGCCAACCTGTGCCGACCCCACAAGCTCCAAGTGCCCCAGTACTTATTCCTGATCCTGTGCTTCCACCTGTGGAACCTTGGTGGAAAAGGTTAGAGAGGGGTGGGGTGTTTGACCGAAAAGGCTGTGAATGCTGAGGATGGGGGTGCAGCTGTGCCATGCTACAGGAGGGTGAAACACCGGATGATTGTGGTCCTAAGGAATTGGAAGACGACAGTCTACCACTGAACTCAAACCCTACCCCACTGGGTTCTTGCTGTTTTCCCGTCTGTTCACTGGAGCCAGATGCCGATGCTGAAAGTGATGCCACCTGCTGGGCTCTGGATGCCCCTGAAAGTGATGCCACCTGCTGGGCTCTAAAAGAGGCCAGTAATGGCATGTCCACTCCAGTGTGCAGTTTTGAGGGTGTACTGGAGGGAGAGTCCCCAGCAGAGCCGGGTGCTGTGGACGATGGAACAGAAGTATGACCCTTCTTTAACTGACCAGTGGGAGCTTTTAATGACCCCAGAACAGATACCGGGGGCCTGAACAGTGTTGGTGGAAGCTGGGGGTGGTGTGTGAGTGCAATAGCTACTGAGGTGGTTGCAGCTGCTGCTTGGAGAGGGGCTTGGATAAGGGGAGCCCAGATGACTGGGGTAGGTGAGGGAGGCGTCTGGGGTGGAGGGTTCTGCATGAGGTGGGCACAGTGAGCCATGTCCCGGTCATGCTGCACAATCTGCTGGATGATCTCATTCTCCTGGCAGTTGAGAACCCCAGAGCTGAGGTCATGTTGCACCTTATGTTGCAGGATGGAGTTTTTCTTGCCTTTTGAAGGACATGTTCATAAGAAAAGAGAAAAAAAAAGAAAGACATTTTAGTACAGCACTGTAGTTGATCTATTCTTAAGCAGTTCAGTATAAAACATCATACTATTATTGATACAAATATAAGGTAAAAAAAAATAATGAACATAAATGTTCATGAAAATCATACATGGGGCCACGGAGGGATAGAAGTTTGACAAAGATATGGAGCTACAGAGTTTAACAGTAAAGACAAAGCATTTAGAAAAACAAAAGAAAAAACGAAAACAAAGACAGTCACTACACCGAGGCAGATGTTTGGAATGCATGACAGCCTGAGGAGAAGGCAATGTTTATTTGCCGAGCTCTTACTGCGATTCCCTTGGTAGCAGAGACAGAACATAAAACAAACACTGTACAGCTAAACAGAGTCGGCAAATATCAACTGTAATCATGTTCTTGCTGTTGGCTGTTTACAATAAAAAAGGAGCAATCTCTTAATTTAGTTGGGTTAAATAGGTCATGAGTAAAAAAGAAACAAACTTTCAGGATGTTGTCAATTGTTTAACAACAGTCAAGGTTCAGTTATTATTCAGTCACAAGATCAGAGCTGTGCCACCCTGACAGGCGTGGAGTGTTTATCTAAACCTACAAAAAAAAAGTGTGTAACTGTGACTCCAGAGTCCATTAGTCATTGATGAATGGTCACACCAGCAGTGAAGGAGGTTAATTCACATGGCTGCCATTTTCAATTTGATGCTAACAAAGGGCAGTGAGAGCTGTAGGTGCAGATCAATCTTTCCATTTTCTCTTATGACTGGCGTCTGATTAGTCAGGGGGCCTGCTGCGAGGTATTGTTGTACAATACAGTACACCCGGCATGACCTGGAACCACCTGACCCTTTGTCACTCCCACACCTTTGAATCAGATAGTGCACAGTCCATCAGGAGCCTAATTAATCACAGAAGTCTCCGAGGGACTTTATGAAAGTAGGTTGAGACATAGGTAAAGATCAAGGCCCAAAGAAAGGACCTGGTACCATCTCACAAACGCAACCCTATCAGACCACCTCGTCTTTTCAGAGCAGCCATTTCCCACAAAGAGACTCCCTGAAGCAATTCCTCTGTCTTGCATTCTAAACATAGCTGAGGATAAAACCGTGCATGCGCTGACAGCTGAGTGATGCTACAGGAATGCTTTTTGTTGTGAATTTTTCATCTGCCCTGGCTGCGCCTGGAAAAAATGGATGTATATATAGAGAGGGTCTAATGTAATGTACTTTACTGTGTGTGAGTAGCAACACATAGGCTTGGAAAAACTTTATGTATATGTATACATATATATACTAAGATGACTGTATATGAAAATGATCTGGGGTTTTTTATGTTATTTGAAACATTTCTAGCACCTAAATGTTGTCAAATTAACACTCAATCACAACCAAAATGAAAACAGTAATGGTACAGCCGGTTTTAACGGTGCTGATATATGGTTTAGTAATTCTGGATATGCAGGTTAATAATAAATCAACAAAACATTTAAAAAGACAAACATAACCTCAAACATCCTGACATGTCTCATGGTAGAAAATGATCTCTGAGAAAGAGTTTTATTACTCAATGTTTTGCTGATTTTAAAAGGATGTTTTTACCGATACGGTCCAGTCGATCGAGTGCAACCGTCTCAAAGGCCCTTCTCATCATAGGATACTCTTCCAGCACCTCATTGAAGTTGTCCACAGACAGTGAGTACAGTCGGCAATACGTGTCCGCCCGGACACTGGCTGTCCTTCTGCCTCGTGTCAATAAACAAATCTCTGCAAAAAAATAAAAGAACATAAACAAGTTAATATGCTAAGGTTGGATCCAGGGAAGAATGCTACATTTTTTTTTACATATATTTTTTTTAAATATAATTTTTCTAGCAATAAAAATGTAAATGATTCCCTAGTCTGAAAAACAAAGAAAAACAATCACAAAAACACAAACAAACATTGTTTTCCAGGCCTACAGCAACCTTCAATAAACACTTCACACATTCTATATAAAACTTCCAATCCATGTTTTTAAAGCTTCTCTATTGTTACTGTAGCATTGAAAAACAAACCTAAAGGGAAGGCAGTCAAAATTAAATAAATGATCCTGTTGCCAAAATACTGGCAATAATATAAGTAACTCAATTTAAAACTCAATTTAAATGTAAAATTGACAGATTTATTTTCATCCATGCTGAGTTGTCCTCGAGTTCACATTTGTCTGAGTGCAGTAAACCTCCATTTAACAAGAACCACTGTTGTGGCACAGAGATGGTGAGCAGGTGTGAGTTCAGTAAAGAATGTAGACAAATGTGCCTACTTGCATGTGTGGAGATCTCTGCATGAGAGCCTGTGTGTGTGTGTGTGTGTTGTTTGTGTATGTGTTAAATTACACCAATGGATGTACAGCAACTGTCCTATGGACAGAATAAGTGGAAATGAACATGTTTTATCCATGAATGCATGGCAGTGTAGGACAGTGTGTTAGTGGTAAGTCTAACAGGAAGTCTTATATATTTATGAATGTTAGATTTTCTAAAAATACAATAAATACTAAAAGTGCTGTTTTCATAGACAATTTAAATTAAACTTGTAACATAAATTGATATCGCCAATACACTCCAAAAATGTTTGGTCAAAGATGAATATACACTGGAAAAGTCATTAAGTATGACTCGGTTGTCAATATAAACCTTTTTTTTTCATGACATTGTAGAACATATTTTTATTTTTCAAGAGTAACGATTAACTGTATTTTGAATCAATTCAGGAAGACAGGAAACACCTCAGTGCACAGTGGCCAAAATGCTGCTTAAACCTGTAGACCATGTATGTAGCCATACATGCCGGACATCCAGCACAAAGGGAATATATGCAATTAAAAATATTCTTAAATAAAAAATAAAAATAAGAAATAGAAAAGCCATAAATAAACAATCACTGGCAAACAGAAACAGGTATCAAGGTGAGGAGAGGACCTTAAATAAAAAATAAAAATAAGTAATAGAAAAGCCATAAATAGACAATCACTGGCACTTAGTAAAAAAAAACAAAACAAGAAGAAACAGGTATCAAGGTGAGGAGAGGAATGAGCAATTTATACAGATTAACAGAGAAACCCATTTTATTCTTATTTAATAAATAAATATGGCAGTATTGTTACCATAATGTAGTTGAAATTATCAGCCCCATTGTGGGACTGGAGCCACGGTTCTCTTGGCCTCTGTTAGGTCTCCAAGGCAGTGATAATGTTGTGAGCAGCTTCTTCAGCCTCTCAGCATTCAGAGACGTCCACTAATCGCATAATGTATTAGCTCACATGGAGGCTGCACCGGACCGAAAGCCTGCCGTGGGATTTATTTTCTGGACATGAAATTCATATGGCACGGCTAAATGTCTTGGCTCCGAGTGCATTCAGCAGAGACTGTAGGATGAGGCCACAGGGCTCACTGCAGCTCATCGCCTCATCTTGGAACTATTGACTTCATCCAGAAAGCCAGAGGACAAGAGGATTTAACTCGGAGCTGAGATGCCCCTCTCCTGAGGGGATTAGTGAAGCAGTGCTGTGGGAAACGGACCTCCAGCACAGCCACAACCGGGGCCGCTCCACCAGCACACCCACACGGACATGTGAGCGCGTAGAGTGTGCACGTGGACACAGAGCACACTCATGATACGTGTTATCTTTTGCTTCCACACAGCACTGAAGTTTAACCCAGACGTTGTCTATTCATCCGCGGCCTCCCTCTCATGCATATGCACACACAAACGGTGGCACACTAAAGATGAGGTTTGTTCTTTGGCTTCATAAGCGCAGTGTTCTCTTCCTTCATGCCTGTCAACTCGTACACGTATCCTCTCTTTATCTGATAGCGTATCTCGCCATTTTCAAACCACTGCACACAATCATTACTCCTTCACACTCCGTGACCAGAAAAAAAACACACACACACACACACACACACACACTGTGCAGGCTAATATGATACAGCGCAGTGGAGACAGTGAAATAAGGAATTAGAGGAGAGAATTAACAGTGATCATTTGTAGGGAGAAACAAAATGGAAAAAAGAAATGAAAAAGAAATGATAGTAAAGAGTTATTATACTGTATCTATGATTACTGGAGAAGAGAGAAAAACACAAGTGCTCTTATTTGATTTAAGCAAGAGGGATAAAAGCATAGAGGTGTTGGCTGTGTGTGCTCAGGAGAGAGAGAGAGACAGAGGGACGAAACGTAAAAGGGAGGGGGAGAGAGGGGGGAGGAGAGAAGGAAGATAGCATGGTTTTCCAGGAAAGACAGAGGTGAGCATATACAGTATGTGGGGCTGAAATACACATTCAAATACATTAATGGATATATAGAACTACAAGTACTGCTACTGTTAAGATATAGGTATATACTATGTATATTTATGAGTACAATAATGTCAAAATACACCTTACACACAGATGAATGCACAAAGAGAACCTCATTGTTAGTGAACCGTTGTTTAACTTCTTTTTCATTTAGATAGATAGATAGATAGATAGATAGATAGATAGATAGATAGATAGATAGATAGATAGATAGATAGATAGATAGATAGATAGATAGATAGATGTTAATGTTTCCGTCTTCCTCTTTGTTAATGAGAGACAACATTGATGTGAATTCATGAGTGGCTTCTTGGCCTGTGATGAAGAACCTGTGTTCCTGCTCACCTGGACACTAAATCCTGCCGTCAACTCCCATCTTCAGTCACACCTCTGCTCCACCCCCCCCACCCCCCACTCACAAAGTTTAAAGTTTTTGTATCCAGTGGAAGTAAATGTAAACTAGTACACAGACTATTCCGATGTGTACATTTGGTCTAAAAAAACACAAACATTGACTGTGTGCCAGACAATTGTGTCAAAGCTGACAGTCGCCTTACTGCCAATATCTTTAGTCGTGGCACATCTCCATGTTTATCAAAGACACAGCGGCCTCACCTCCCCTTCACAAACCTGCCGTGTGATATAAGTGTAGCTCATCAATGATCCTATCCCCATTCTGTCACTCCGTCGGCTGCAGCTCTGCTGATGCTGTTGCTTCAAGTATCAGGAGCAGAGGTGTTAACTGGGTTAAGGACCAGCTGTGGATTAGCTGTGTCTCTGCTGCTGCCAGCCTCTCTCACTGACCACCCGCTCAATATGTATCAGGAGAAGGAGAGACGTTTACAAGGGTTAGAGCTAGTACTGAACCCCCGACTTTATAGGGCATCAGACCGAGAGGACATCGTTCACACACACCTGTGTGGGAGAGAGAGTAACGTCAAGAATGAGGTGACATTCAGGAGATTTTCTGGATCTGTCCAAGTAACTTACTTCCCAATTTCACCTCCTCCCACTCTCTCCTGCTACCTTCCACTTTCTTTTTCCATTCCACTCAAAGGCTGCCACGATCCACTCACTCAGAGGCAAAGTGAGCCATCAGAGCAGTGCAATCAGAGGTGGCTTTTGATAAGCACCTCTGACTGGCACCCGGGGGCCGAAACAAGGTCACCGAGCTCCACTCCAACCAGGAGAGGAACACACGCTGCACCGGCAACACGTCAATTACTTGAGGCAACATAACATAACAACAGAGTAACCTGCCAGTCTGGTCACTGAGAGGGCAGAGGAGATGCAGTTTAAGATAAGCAGTCAATGTTGAGGTGAAGGAAGGGGGGGCGGGCTCTGGGGTTGAAGGTGAATCATTTCTCTCTGAGACCAGAGTACAGTCCAAAGTAAAGGCCTGTCAGCGTTTCACATCAAATCACATCACATTTCCTGTCATCACTGGATCACTGTGTCATGTCGTGTCGACTTTGGACTTCAATTCCTCGGCCTACAAACCATTTTTCCAACACTATACTCAGCATATAATTGTGTAATTAAATCTTGTCAACTATGGGGGAATAAGGAACTACACATAACTTTGCAGCAACGGTGATGAGCACATGAACATAACACCTGAAGTCAACAAAGCTTCTGTGGACACATTTATTTATAAAAGAAGTCTGATCTGAATATTATATAAATATATAGATTTATTTACCAGCTGTTAAAAACCAATAAAAGAGAAAATGGGTGAGACAGAGCAGCTTTGAGCTTTGATGGAAATAAAAAATACGAATTCCTAACTTAAACATATATTTGTGTTGAGGACATTGAAATTAGTCAGATTTACCACTCCACAGACCACTGCACCAACACTGTTACAGGGTACTGTTACATCACCATGTCCTGCCTCTCAAAACAATATCTGCCTATTTTACCTTGAAAGTTTATAAAAGTACCAT